CTCCTACTACCATATCCTCCCATTCCTGCCCTCCGTTTAATCTTGACCCATAAGCTCCTCATCCATTCCTGGAATAAGCTCTGGGTCAGCTCATCCATCCCCAGGTGGAGTTCCACATACTCCAGCTGATCCCTGACATAGAGAGCACCTACCCCTCCCTGTCTCCCCTGCCTGTCCTTCCTGCAGAGCCTCTGTCCTTCCATTCTGACACTCCAGTCACAGGAGCCATCCCACCACTTCTCCATGACGCCAATAAGGCCACAACTCCTCAGGCCTGTGCATACCTCCAGCTCCTCTTGTTTACTACCCACACTCCGTGTATTCGCATAGAGGCATTTGAGGTGGGATGCTGCTGAAGCTGGCTTGAGGACTGGAGCAGCTGGAATTCCCCTGTTTTGCCTGCCAAGTGTTTTCTTAGTGAGCATTAATTTTTTTCCAGGTTCTGGGTGTTTCTTGGTGTCCCTACTGGTTTTGCCCGTCTCCCCCCTCCAACCTAGTTTAAAGCCCTATCAATGAGCCCTGCCAAGTCATGGGCAAGCATCCTTTTCCCTCTCCGAGACAGCTGGAGACCATCTGCCGCCAGCCGGCCTGATGTCCTATGACCCTCCTTGTGCTCCAGGAACCCGAAGCTCCACCGTTCACCCCAGCCTCTGAGCCACGTGTTGATTAGGTGTGCTTTCCTGTTCCTCTCGATGTCCCTCCCTGCTACTAAGGGGATGGAGGAGAACACCACCTGTGCTCCCCGTCCTGCCACCATTCGCCCCAGTGCCCTGAAGTCCCTTTTGATGGCTTTTGGATGCCCACCTGCATGACCAACAGAGGGTAATCGTCAGAGGGCTTTACCAGGCCAGGGAGTCTCCTGGTGATGTCTCTAACCTGGGCCCCAGGGAGCAACAGACCTCTCTGTGGGATGGGTCAGGGCGGCATATCGGGCCCTCTGTTCCCCTCAGAAAGGAGTCACCTACAACAATGACGCTCCCTCTTTTTTTAACAGAGGCTGTCGTAATGTGTGGGGCTGACGGGGTTGTCCTGTGCAGCTCCCTGGAAGGACCTTCCTCTGCAATTGCCTGGCCCTCAAGTTCCAGAGCCCCATCTATGTTCTGCAAGGGCAGCTGGGAAGGGGAGGGAGGGCAGGAGGGGATTCACCTACCTTGCCGAGCAGGGACCCATTTCCATTTGTACCGACATGGAATTACTTCTGGAAGTAAAATTCAGAAACTTGCAGAGAAGTATCAACACTGAAAATACAGTGAATTTGCAATTGCTGAAAGCTTTTCACAGCTCCTCAGTCAAGCGAGGACACTGAGTTCTTGGTTTGACCGAGTTAGAATTTGAGTTAATTGTTTCTTCTTGCTGATCTAATTATGAGCATTATTTAAATGCTGTGCTTAAATTAGTGTTTATAGCTCAGTTTGGGTACCGATGTATTTTTGTCCTATTACACATATCTGAAGTAATATGTAGTAACTGACATTAGGAAAAAAACTTAAACTTTTTGGAGTTACTTTCCAGTTTTTTTATATATTATTATATATAAACTGAGAGTGGGGAGGTTTAGATTAGATGTCAGGAAGAAATTCTTCCCGGAGAGGGTGGTGAGGCACTGGAACAGGTTGCCCAGAGAACTTGTCCATCCCTGGAAGTGTCCAAGGCCAGGCTGGATGAGGAGCAACCTGGTCTAGTGGAAGGTGTCCCTGCCCATGGCAGGTGGTTGGAACTGCATGATCTTAAAGGTCCCTTCCAACCCAACCCGTTCTATGATTATATATATATATGTCCTTCAGCTGCCAAAAAAAAAAACCCTTAAAATTATGAAATACTTACCTTGAAGTGCAAGGCAGAGATTTGGGAAGACACAGCTTTTTATGAATGAATTTGGATTAATTCTGTAGCTTTTAGTTGATGGAGACTGAGCAGCGATGTAAGCATTTCTCCTGTGTGAAATTTTGTCAGACAAAACCATCAGGATTGGGTGTACTGTCTTTTAAAAAAAATTAGTCTAAAGATTGTCTTTTTGCTAGATCAGTTTGAGGAAAATTTTGAAAACTGTGTGTTCCTTACTGTCACTTCATTCATGCCATTTGTATCTTTCTTTCTTTCTCATTCTTTTTCATGGTTTCTACCAGGCTTTCCTACTTAACTCTCACCTAAGTGAGAGGTCATTGTTTGTGTAAGTACTGCAAAAATAGCATTCATACCAACATATGAATGCGGTAGACATTTTGTGTTCTACTCATAATCCTCTACTCTGCACTTGTAGAATTAAGGACCATCCAAAGATTATGAGAAACCCGTTCAAGAAGCTGTTAAAAAATTTAATTATTATTTCCTCACACTATTATAGTTTGTAGTTAATAGATCTATCGTTAGCGTTATTCATGTTTTTGTTAAAACAGTTAAGTCACGTAATATCAGTGCGTCTGATATTACTCAATGATCGTAGCTGTTCAAATTGGATGTTCTAACGATAGTGCTGTAGGCAGATAACAGCCAAACCAGCAGTGGTGTAAACACGGTGTGGCTATGCTTAGAGTTGGTAAATCCACTGCCAAAGCAATTGGTGTGAAGAATGTGAAATGCACTGCTACTTTGCTGGCTTGGTAACACAGCCATGTCTATAGGCATGTCTCATAGTGAGGGAGTGCTCGTTTCTCTTCTAGCATTTGGTGGAAAGCTGAAAAGTCCCCTGCGTGTTGTTTTGGTTGCCACACATGCTGACATAGTGAATCTTCCTCGGCCCGTTGGGGGAGAGTTTTGGTATGACAAAGACATGTCGTTGTTGAAAGAAATCAGGAACAGGTGAGTGGGGAGTGTATTTATATGTAGTGTTTAAACATGTCAATTGGAAAGAAAAAAACAGTAAAATGCATAGAAATTCATAAAAGTTTTTTATGTAGCTTAAGCTTTATGATAGTATGGTATTTTGAATATGTTCAGGAAGCATATACTGTGCAAAAATTGAAACGTTTACCAATATTAAAGAGTGAGTGAGCTGCCTTAAGTGAGCTAAAATGAGCCATGTGGTGCAAAAATGAGTTGAGGCTCAGGATGTCTCACCCTATAAACACTGGGACATATCCAAAGGCCCATTATGAGCCATCTGTCTAACATCTTGGTGCTCAGGTTTTTCACCAGTCTCAGAAAGTGGGCGGTTCCCAGCTACGATCTCTGGGTGCAAAACAGGAAGCCTTACAGGAGAGTCACCCTTTGCTCTGAATCAATTTAGGATGGGTAGGTAAAAACCTTAAACCAGGCCTGGAGGTACTCCCTGCAGTTTGTGAGAGGCTAGACTCTTAGCTCTCTTCAGCAAATGCTTGGAGAGTATGCTAATTGTATGTGAAAATAAGAATTTTTCATGAACATACCGCTGTATAAAGTATCATTAATTTATATTCACAGTGGGCACGTAAGTGGGTAACACGTGGTCAGAAGACCCATCCCTACCTGTGGGCATCGACACTTGTCTGGACTGTACAAGAAAGAGATGGAGGGATTCCAGCACAGTAGTGGCAGAGCAGTATCTTAACCATTTGAAATAAACCAACAGAAAATACCTGTGTGTAATCTTTGGTGTTGGAATCCTTTTAAATGCCAACCAATCTAGACCTAGGAAACAAGTACCTGCGGTTGGAGAGCCAAAAGGAGAAGAGCACTGTTGTCAATAGCAATGACAACTGAACTACTTAAAGTGAGAAGGAAGAAAACAGCAAATACGAAGACCTTAAAAAGAAGGTGTCTCTTCTCCTGCTGTCCCTTCCCCAGTAAAATGGTTTTGTAATTACAAGTCATGTAATGCAGTTGTGATTTTCTCACGTATCTTCAGCATCCATCTTCCTTAGGAAAGACAACAGTTTTCTCTCAATATCTGTTTTATTTTCAAGAAAATTTTGGAGCAGCTATACTGCCTGTGCTTGTAAAATACTTTAACATAGTCATTACTTAAACTTTTTCATCATTCCTTGAAGAAAGATAACTCTTGTGTAGTTTCAAACTGAAATATATAACTGGAGTAAGAAATAAAACTGAATTTGGGACTAAGTAAGTAATTGCTTGCCTTTTCTCTTGTAGATTTGGAAATGATCTGCAAATTTCAGACAAGTTATTTGTCTTGGATGCTGGCGCATCTGGGTCTAAAGATATGAAGCTACTCCGAAATCACTTGCAAGAAATAAGAAGCCAGATAATTTCTGTAAGTAATGTCTAGTGATCTGGGTTGGGCCAGCCAAAATGTGAAAATCTTGTGTAATAATTTACTGTAGATTTAGTACTTATATTATGAAACTTTGAGAAACGCATGCTGTTTAAATTTTTTGGCAGCATGTGTGACAGACCTGGTGATAAGCAAACTCCTGACATCAAGATTCAGTCAGAATTTTCAGAATTGTAGGTGTTCTGTACAGGTCACCAGAATGATCTGTCTTGAAAAGAAACAGTGTGAGAATTTCAGTTCCAGGTTGCAGTTCCATATTTTGAATTGACCATGACTGGATTCCAACGGTGACCCTTCTCTTTTTTTTTGTGATTTTAATTTTTTTTTTTTTTTTTTTTAATCAGAGTAGTATGACAGAGGAACAGAATATATTTCAGGCAAATAAGTTTTTCGTAAAACCACCCACCAGAGCAGAACAGTTGCCTCAACCACTCGATAATTCCCAAACGTAGGTGTGTGAACTGAATATGCATTAACCTTTTACTGCACTTTTTAACTGAAGAATATGTGCTTGGAGTTGTGTAAATGCGTGTAGGTGTATGTATTTGAGACTAAAGGTAAAATAGCCATGGTTTGATGTCATCAGCATGAATCCACTTCCATGCTGAGGGTGACCAAGTCAAGTTGTTATGTAGCCTGTACTAAATGGATTTAGATTTCTTCATACCAAAGGCCCTGTTACTTGTGTGACGCACCAACAAGACATTCTGCAGCTACTTCTGATAGGGGGTTTGGGTTTTAATTAATAAAAGTGAAATTTTTAGTGCATTCATTCTGTAGGTTGAAGAAAACGCCTGGTTTTATGCAAAATTCAGCCTGGTTTACGTTCCTAGTGGTTTCCTGATTTAATAAGCTTTTCTTCTCTGGCAAACTTTATTTATTGTAGCTGTGGTCACTAGCTTGAAATCTGGAGGGCTCTGCTGCTTAAGGATTACATGCTGTGGCTTGAGAGTGTAGGATGAAGACATGGGTGATGTCCAGGGTAGTCAGTAGATACAAGTGCCATCATTACTCTCCTCGTACTCCGCTGTCTCACCGATTGAAGTAAATTGGTCCTGAACAGATGCTGATGAGTACAGATTTTAATTAAACGTGGACAATTTCTGAAATAAAAACTTTCTAGATGCATGAAAGCAGTTGATAGATCTTGAAGTCGCGCTTTCAGGTGGTCAGCACATTTGACAAGGCGGGACTACATGAACCAAATTTTGTTCCACATGTCAGGATTCCCTCTGTAATTATGGTGATGTTTGGAAAGTTTGCTTATTTCAGCGAAAAAGTTGTTTGTGGAATTCACTGGGTTAAGAAAAGTTAGGTCTCATGGCAAGTGGATGCCGGATGGAAGAGTAAGGGTCCGTCACAACAGGAATTCTTTAGACGTGAATATGCAGTATGAATTCATTAGACCTTGTAACCTCCATTAAAGTTAAAAAAAACAACAATAGTACTGTTACTCTCAGCAGAAGTAGAATTACCAATGGATGTTTTCTGTGCTTTTGTAAGACTTGCCCACCCATGACTCATCTGTGTGAAAAAATAATGTCCACGCTGCCTTCATGGAGAAAAATGAACGGGCCTAACCAGCTGATGTCCTTGCAGCAGTTTGTGTACGACGTGCAGGAGCAGCTGAACCCCCTAGCAAGCGAAGATGACCTGCGGCATATTGCACAGCAGCTGCACAGCATAGGAGAGGTAAGTGGGTTTGTCTAAATTGCCTGTCTTTATTAGCAAGGTACTGCGTTTGTGGAATATTGCTTAATGGGATTTAAGCGGATGTCAAGAGTGACTTCTTTTTCTCTTCCTTCTTAAGGCATAATAAGTAGTAGAGGCTTGTTCATAATGCTTTCTCTCTCACCGTTGCTGTCTTGTGGCTCCTGTTTTCATTCAGCATTATTTATTTCAGACAGGAAGAATTACAGTTTATATCTGTAGTTGTAAGAATATAAAATATCCAGAAAAGCTAAGTATGCTGGCATCTTAAAGGGGGTAGTGCCAGATGTGTTCACTGCATGTGAGAAATTTATGTGTGTCCATTAGAAATTGAGTCATAGGATAACACCTTTGCATAAAGAGCATGTATGGCATGGCTAGGCTTTACAGCTGTTGGGCTCTGATGTCTCTGTTACTAGTGGAAATCCAAGAGCAAGATCTGCTCTGTGTCCTGAGTACGTGCAGGAAATTAAAACGCGGTGTTCGCTTTTCTCCCCTCGGCAGCAAGGGTCTGTAAGTTAGGAAGGAGAGAATGTGCGGCATCATCTCGTACTTCACAAGATGTAAACAGTAACTTTTACGTTTATGAACAGATTAACATTATGCAGAGTGAAACTGTCCAAGATGTTGTGCTTCTGGATCCTCGCTGGCTCTGTTCAAACGTCCTCGGAAAAATCCTGTCAGTGGAAAACCCAAAAGCCCTCCATCACTACAGGGGTCGGTACACGATGGAGGACATCCAGCGCCTGGTGACAGACAGTGATGTGGAAGAACTGATACAGATTTTGGATGCCATGGACATTTGTGCAAGGGACCTTAGCAGTGGAGCAATGGTGGAAGACTGACAATCTCCACAGGTCTTGGACAGATGAGGAGGATGAGGTGCTGATTTATGGTGGTGTTAGAATCGTTCCTGTGGAACATCTTACCCCATTTCCTTGTGGAATTTTTCATAAAGTTCAGGTGAATCTCTGCCGGTGGATTCATCAGCAGAGCTCAGAGGGGGATGCTGACATACGCCTGTGGGTGAATGGATCAAAGATCGTGAATCGCGGAGCCGAGCTTTTGGTGCTGCTGGTCAACCATGGTCAGGGTATAGAGGTTCAAGTTAGAGGACTGGAAACAGAGAAGATCAAGTGCTGTTTACTGCTGGATTCTGTGTGCAGCACCATCGATAACTTAATGGCCACGACCTTACCAGGCCTTCTGACCGGGAAGTACTACCTTAGTCCTCAGCAGCTGAGGGAACATCACGAACCTGTAATGGTCTACCAGCCTAGAGACTTTTTCCGTGCACAGAGTCAAAAGGAGACATCACTAACTAACACTATGGGGGGATATAAAGAGAGCTTTAGCAGTATCCTGTGTTTTGGGTGTCTTGATGTCTACTCCCAGGGAAGCCTAGGAATGGATATTCATGTTTCCGATCTGAATCTGCTTACCAGGAGAAAACTAAGTCGACTTTTGGATCCTCCTGATCCTATGGGCAAAGATTGGTGCCTTCTGGCCATGAACCTGGGCCTCCCTGATCTTGTGGCCAAGTACAACACCAATAACGGAACACCAAGTGACTTTGTCTCGAGCCCAGTACATGCCCTTCTGCAGGAGTGGAGTAACGCTCCCGAGAGCACTGTAGGTATCCTGATGTCTAAACTGAGGGAGTTGGGTCGCAGAGATGCAGCAGACTTCTTACTGAAGGCATCTTCTGTATTCAAAATAAATTTAGATGCTAATGGTCAAGAGGCTTACGCTTCCAGTTGCAACAGTGGCACGTCGTATAACTCGATCAGCTCTGTCGTGTCACGGTAGGGGCAGGTGTTCCACACGGGCGTCTTGTCAAACTGTAGAAAGGGTAGAAGATACAGTACAGGAGTTTCTGTGCATCTTAGTTTATGAGGTTTTACCTCAGAGGATCTTTATCCTTCTCCAGCGCCACCTTTTTGTGCTTAAACTTTCTACTTCTAACTGTGAATTGTTGCTTTTTTATCTATTAAAAAGGCTGGTGTACTTCTGGTGTTTTAAAATTATTCCTGATACATAATGTGCTGCTTAATACTGCCACTTTAACTGGAAAGTCTTAACTTTTGGGTTGCACACTGCAACTGTTTTTATAAATGTTTCGATTCTCCCCATAGAAGGCAGGGGCAGAGGAATAGCACATATTACCTGAAACGCGTATTTCTTACAACTTTTAAGTTTTCCTTTCCATCGTGTCCTCTGCTTAATTTTTTTTTTTTTTTAAACTTTTATTTGTAAGGAGAGAAATCCACCATTTGTGGTCAGTCTGACTGAATCTAAAACCACATTGTTTATAGCTGAAAAAGCGAGTGCCTTTTGCAGAAGGGAGGGTGCCGTTGGTTTGAATGACCCTGCTGGAGTTACAAGAACATGCTACCTCTGTTTCACTTCAATTGTCTGCATGCTTACTATTGCAAGTGGTGCTTGCCTTCTCGTTTTTCCTGCACTTCTGAGACGTTGGTGATGACTCGCGCAGAGCATTCTTGTGCCAGTACTGTGGGTATAGGCGTGATACCTAATCAATTACAGCCGAATCATAATGTGAAAATCTCTTAATCTTGCCAATTATCGTGCTTCATTATTTCCATGCGCCTCAGGTAAAAGCTCATATCATTATAGAGTTCAAAAACCCGCAAGCGTTGGATACGGCAGAATAATACTGTTTAGCTGTCCGTTGTAATTTGTGTATAACGAAGGTTTTCTACTGTTAGATCCTGCATTACTTACTTCCTGTACTTGAAAACTTTGATGGGGATAAAAAAAAAACAAAAACAAAAAGGAAGCAAGGTTTCTTGCAGTGATAACTTTAAAATTGATATGAGGGAATACGACCCATTCTCTGTTCTCAAAAGCATGTAATATTAATGGTGCGATGTGTGTTTGTTTATATATATTGTATGTACATATATTAATACTATTTTTTCCTTAATCTTCCAATGTAGTAAAATTTTAAAGGATTTTTCTACAAATAAACTGTTGCTTGTTGCATCCCTGTCGTTCGTGTTCTGTAGTGGAAAGGGCACCGAAATCACTCTTCTCCTTACAGTCGCTGTCCTGGAAAGGCAGCGCCTGGCTCGCGGGGTTCTGTTTCACGGGACTCGGGGGGTTTCTCCGTACGCTGGAGGGGTACTTGGGCGCGTGTTTGCCGCAGAGGCGGTCCCTCTGCAGCGCGGGGATTTGCGTCCGTTTCAACAAGGGGCAGGCCGAAGCGGTTTGCCTGCGTAGCTTTTCCTTCGTGGTTTTTTTGCACGGAAAACCAAAGCGGCAGACGGGCTGTCTTGTCACCGAGAATCCTCCAGAGCGCACGGTGCTGCCCGGACAGTCCTTTACACCAGGGATTCCCTCGTCACGCAGGGGACTCTGCTGCTGCTCCTGCTGCTCCTTGAGACCCTTGGCATCGCCCGCTGGCAGCAGCACAGACACCGCACGGCATGCGGTGCAGGCGATGCCATGCAGCCCTCCTCTCCGTACGCTGCAACGGAAGGGACTAGGCGGACCCTGCCAGTGCCAGTTGCTGTTTCCCACTGCCCTCCTTTGCCCGTTTTGCTTCATGAAATCCTCCCGCGGGCGTCACTAGGCTCCTTCGTTAGATGTGGTTCCCCGGAAGCGTGGTTACTGAGCAGCCCTGCACAGAGATGTCCCTGCTCTGACAGGCTCCCTGCCGCTGGCGATCCGAGTTCCGCATCTCCCGCCGCTGCT